CCTAACAAGTGAATTAGATCATTGATAAGTGTGATTAGTGTTGCGATTCTCTTTTCCATATTGTCATTAATCCAAAGGCTTAACGCATATCCGGTTTTCCAATAACCGTTCGTTTTAGACTATATTTTCCTCGACCGCTTCCGCACTTAAAACATATTTTCAAAACCAATTTTTAATTGGTAGCGCCGACTCAAATTTTAATTGGGATCTATTCAACCCCCCCCCCCCCCTTCTAGATCTGTGTCATTGTCTAACAGTTTAAACCCTAGATGTCAATCGTTTTATTGAACTTGGTACTTGTATCAAATTATTTATTAATAATTAAAAGACATTTCTTTATTATGTTTGTTTTTTCAAAATTATAGTCTCTAGAATAGATAGTCCATTTAATGAAACATAAAGTTTGATTTAATCATGAAATCACATTAAACATAACAACACTATTCTTAAAGTATCCGTAATCGAGCTTTATAATGAAGTGGGATAACATTAAAGCATTGATATTATTATGTTGATAGACTTAAGATCACATCTTATTTATCATTAATAAAGAGTTATTAAGTGAAATTATGGTATCAGATATCAGATGTCGAAGGCGATGTTATGACACTAATATCTATACAATCATCAACGCGAAAAAGGACAAACAGATAACAAAAGTAAAAAGACACAAGCAATTGTTAACTCAGTTCGGTGAAAACACACCTATGTCTGGGGGCTACCAAGACAGGAAGGAAATCCACTAAGTAGAATTAGTTTGAAGATATACAGTAGACTCTCTCTAGTTTACCATCTTCTCACCTAATCTCTACCCTTGCAATTTCTACCTAGGACACTCTTAGATAAGAGACACATCTCACTCCCCCTCAATCACAACAGTGATAACAACAAAAAATAATAAGACTTTAGAAGACACTATTCAAAGACACAATCTTAATCTTTCTTAAAAGCTTAAATTACAATACACTCTTGCTTAAAAGCTTTGAGTGAACAACTTACAATACAAAACTTAGTCCAATTCACACATTAAAGTAATGAGTGAATGACTCACAAACTAACACAAAACACACGAATGCTAGAACACTAATCCTTACGCAATGCACAATATTAAACCTAGCTTCTCTGAGCTGTAAACTAGGGTTGCGAATCCTTTAAATAGCAATACTTGGACGAGCTTGGGCTTTGGTAAAAATAGCTTCTGATTGTGAAGAAATCAATCTAAATAAATAGCACCAATGAAACATATTTGATTTGATCCAATCAGCTCTAACCAAATCACTCTTCAGATCTTCAAGATTTTCTTCAGAAAATAGCTCCACTTGAATCCATAAATGTTCCACGATATATGCATAAAAAAGTCTTTTGAGTAAGAACTAAATCCATGCAGATTTAAACCATAAAGGACAGATCACGACAACGTAAAGAGTTGCACTAAAAGAGACAGGCAAACAAACACATTCACACATAATGTTTTGTTCACAAATGTCAGGACATCATGCTTGACATCATGAACTAAATATTGCAATCAATAAACATAGCTACCTGCAGAACCTTAATAACATATGTCAAAATATCATGTAGGACATCTTGTGATTTCACCAAGTTTTACCAAAATGCCTGCCAATCAGGAACTAACATTACGTCTTCACATAGGTTTGGATATTAGGAGTAATATTTATACTTGATTAACTCGCAATGAGAATGCTACATAGAATGTTATGCAAAATATCTTAAGTTATTCTCATGGTGATAATGGTGTATACGAACCTTCGACCTAAAACCACTATGGACCCTAGATGTGGAGTCGAGTATTTTATCATTGATCAAACATTGTTTGTAACTGGATGACCATAAAGACAGTTGATGGGTACTCCACAAATCATGTTGAGGGACATGAATGGCCTAGATGAAATTTGTCATCCTGCATAACATAATATGTTTCTAAGGGCCTAATATTAAACTAGACAAGGGTGACACAATCTATGTCTTGTGTTCAATATAGGCATGATGGCAAAAAGGTAATTGTACACACATGGATTATTATAGAAATATTTTGTTAGATCACGTGACATTTTTGTGACTTCGTTAATAGTGATTTTATGCTAGATACCACCCACTGTTTAATATATTAAATGTATGATTTAATTTGATAAGAGAGAAAATAAATAAGGAATATCGTAAAGTACAATGTACTTTAGATAATTACAAAACATTGTAAGGTACGGTGTACTTAAGCGGAATACGGAATACAACAAAGTACCACACGCTTAAGAAAAATATAGTACACTATAAGGTACAATGCATTTAAGTGGGCTTTGAGCTTGCAGTCCACATAAGTGGTTCTATAAATAGAACCCTTATGCAAAAGATTTTTCACTTGATGCAAATTCATTTATGAATTCTCTCTCTCTCTCCCTCTCTCTCTCTCTCTCTCTCACACACACACACACACACACACACACACACACACACACACACACACACACACACACACTCACAAAGTCTTCATTTGTAGCAGCTAACACGAATATTGAAGGTACTTTGTTCGTGTGGACTGAGTAGAGGTGTTGTTCTTCATTCAACTCTTTTAATCATTCCTCTGATTCTGCATCACAGGTGTTAATCACCATAATACATAATCATTATATCGCTAATCATGCATGATTCGTAAGGATCAACTAAAGGGAAAGTTTTTATTTTCTGCTGCATTTTGTATCACGATTTCCCTTCAGAAACGTCTTTCCCCACGTTTCCCATGACTAGGCGATAGGAAAACCTTGGGGGTGAGACAATACCTCCCTTTGGGCGACATGTTATCATTGTCTCTCCTTGGCCTTCATACAACCATCGCCCTAATAGATTCCTCTTACAAATATAACACTACAATCCTTATTATCTTTCACATCATCATAATATCATTCAAAATATTTGCATCTATTTTTTGTAGTCCCATGCTTAAATTCACAAAAACATAACCCACTGTACCAAAATGAAATTGGAAAATAAGAGAGATCATACCATATAGTGTGGACATCCACAAAATTTCTTTCCAAAAGTCTTAATTGCTGTAGCCTTTCTAAGCACAACGAATTTACCACACCAACAATTAGGTCTTCATTGTTTCTTCGAAGAAAATGAGTAAACCCACTATTTAAAACTGTCATTGTCTTCTCCATCATTACTAAAGACCTTTTGAGAGGAAAAATGAGACTTTTTGTAAAAGACATTATTTTTCTTCATTTTCAAAATGAAAATGCCCTAATTTAAGCAAGGTTGAAGAAGAAAGCAAGGTTGAAGAAGAATTGTCACAAATCCTAATTTCACGAAACTATTCTAGGAATTTCACAAAGTAATGCGAACATTACAACATGTGATCTGACATGGATGCCACTTCTTACTGACAAGGAAAAATGTTGAATTATTTAACACTGTTTAAGAAAAAAATGGCTAAAAAAGACAAACTTAAAATGGTTAGTAGAGCCGATGGACCTAAATAATCTTTTTTAAAAATCTAGGAATCAATATGAACTTCAACTAAAAGATACGGGACGAAAAAAAAAATTAAAGTATAAATATTTTATAAATAATATATTCTTAATAAATATATGTTTCAAGAAAATCTATTTAATATTATATAAAAATCAGTTTTACGGTTATAAATTTTTTTTTTCAATATCAAATTATGAGTCGCTTTTTTAAAAATATTTGTCTTAAATTATAATTCACTTTACAATTTCAATAATACATTAATAATTTTTTTTCCTAATATATCGTATACTATTTATTATTCTTTCTTCTTCTCTCTTCCCTATCTAAATATTGAAAGATTTTTTTATACTATTTATTATTCTTTCTTCTTCTCTCTTCCCTATCTAAATATTGGAAGATTTTTTTATACTATTTATTATTCTTTCTTCTTCCCTCTTTCTTATGTAATTATTGAAAGATTTTTTTTAAAGTCGCGTGTAATTTGTCTTTTCTATCCAAAATTAATTGTAGTTTTTAATTTATGTGAAACACCTAAGACGTTATAATTCAGGACGGATGTAATATGCCAAATTATTTTTCTTAGAGTTAGTCTATTTTTAAATTGATGATCTAGAACAAAACAGAATAGAATATAATAGAATAAAATGGAGTGAAGAATAATGAAATAAATATTTCTTCCATTATTTATGTATTTTATTTTTACAATTTGACGGAATAAAACAAAACAAATTAAGTCATTCTATTACACACAGTCTAATCAAATGAAAATTAAAAAATTGAATGAAATATAATAAAATGAATTTCATCATACTGCATTGCTCAATTCATTATTTATAAATTTAATATTATAATCTTATTATTTACTATTCTATTTTATTTTATTCTATTTCATTTTTGGGAGTAGCTTAGAAAAACTTTCTACTACTATTCATCTAAAAGTGCAATTGTTTTTGTCATATCATTTCATCTAATATCTTTTGTTTCAGTTCCGGTTCCATTCATCTTAATTCTTAACTAAAACTTATGCATCCTTATTAGAACTTGAACGGCTTCAAATACTGGACAAGCTTTAAATACTGGACAAGCACAGTAGATGTAGACACTTACTTTTCTTTCAAATCAGGAATCCTCAAATACTCCTAGTTCTCACTGCTTAGTCCATTTGAGAAAAAACTAACCATATTAAAACAACCAAAAACACATGTCTGAACATATATAAATACATAAATGAGAAGAACAAAAAAACAGTAAACTCAACCATAATTAAAAGTTACCAAAATTGCTTGATAACTTAAATAGAATAGACAAACTTCCGTTATAAAATCAAAGCAGAAATTTAAAAAAAAATGTACAACAGGCCAAAAGCCTCAATGTAGCATGAATGAACGAATAAATGACTCTTTTCCCATGCTTGATTTTTATCTTTCAAAAACCATTTTCTACTCTCTTTTTCTCCTTCTTCTGGGTTTAATTTTTTTTTGTTGCATTTAAAAACCTAAAACTAACCATATTCAACGAATATGAACCCATTTAGCAACACTAGGAACTCCAGCATGTACAACATAAAGCATATAATACCCAGGTGGGGCCACCGTAAAAGAACCGGGCCCACGTACCATAGCCTTATAAACAGACTTCACCGGGCCTTGTGGGCTTTCGGGACTAGAATTTGCAACCTCTTCCAACGCCGTCACTTCCAAAAACAAAACCCGCTGATTCATCGCAAAGGAGTGTGTAGTAAACGACGGCGCCACCAACGAAAACAGAATCCCACTAACATCACGAACTTCCTTCAACGAAAACGACACCGCAAACAAATTCCCATACTCCACCGTATGATTCACAACCTCCACTGTAATAACACTGGGCCGCAACGGATCCATTTTCGGCCCAAGATAATCCGGGTTATAAATATCCAAACTCAACTCAGTCGGGTACGGGTAAGCCCGAAAATCATAACCTCTATGAGGATTACTTCCACCCACTAAAATCCTGCCATCAGGCAACAAAACAGCTGAAGAATGATACATTCTCGGAGTACTCGCTGGAGCTAACAACTGAAACCTCAAACCCGAGTTCACTAACCCGGGTCGATATAAAACCGGATGCAAAACCGGGTTCGCCGCGTTTTCCCAACCCGCTGTACCATTGGCCGCACCGTTTAAAATTATAACATTCCCCGTCGGTAACAAAAGCATATCCGGCATGACACGTGGCGTCGGCATAAACTCCATAACCCATTCCGGTTCAGAATCAGTAACCTTCATCCTTCCGCAACTATCAGAAGCTTCTAGAAACACCTGCTGTTTTTTAGCATAATCAAACGCGCCGGGATACGCGCCGCCGCAAACCATTATTTCAACCTCGATTAAACTCTTTTCACTTCCCGTTAAATTCAACGGCAACATAACGGAAGAGCCTGTACTTGGATAGTTTCTCTTTTCTTCTCCGGGTATAATTGGAAATTCCCTTATTACCCTGTTATGAGTATAATCAAACAGAATCGAACGACGGTTAGCGAAGATGAAGAGGTTTCCGTCGGGTAAAAGATGCAAGAATGGATAAAGATTGTTCTCTTCACCGGGATTTGAATCACGCGTGATTTGCAAGAATCTGAAAAAGTAAAACGACGGGTCGTTTGAATTCTTCGGAACAAACTCGTAGGAAAACGATGAACGACCACCAACGACGATGATTCTACCGTCCGGGAGAATCTGGTTCGAAGCATACCAACGGCTAGAAGAAAGATTCTGAGGAAGCTCTTCCCAATCGCAGTCATTGTTTTTCGGACATGGAGTGAATGTTCTGAGTTTGGTGTAACCGTCATTGAAGCCGCCGGTTTGGATTAACGTACCGTTGGGATTGACGGCGCCGGAGGAGCACCAAGCGTCGGTTTGAAGAGTTAAAGGACGGAATTTGTCGGTGGTTAGGTCGTAGAGGATAGAGTGTGCAGTGCAGTCGATTTTGAGAGCCATGTCACGTGGGTCGTAACGGCAGCGGTTGTTTGTGAGGGAGATATTGGAAGGGCCGAAGTCGGTTCTGTCAAAGATGACAACTTTGTTGTCTTTCATTACCTGCATGTGCATGGCTGAGATACCTATGGATTTTTGGAGCTGAATCCAGTGGCCACGGCCACCAAATGAGTTCATTGTGGTGAGGTTTTGTTGCGGTGTGATGAGGGTTGCGGTGGTGGTTTGGGATATGTTGAAGATGATGATAATGGTGATGATTGTTGTAATGAGGTGGTGGTGGAGGAGGAAAGAATGTGCGTTCTTGATCTTGAACGCCATGAATGGTTTGGTTTGGTAACAAGAGATGAGTGTATATTTGGTTAAAGCGTAAACACGAGGGTGTTGTATTTAGTGGGAAAATGTTGGTTGGGTGAGTAATTAATAGAAGATGAATGGTACAGTAGTACCTAGTAGTTTATGAGGGGAAAAAAGTTAAGACACCATGGATATCAAGTTTTGAGATGACATACAATATTTGGGTTTTATGGGGCTGTCATTGCATACAGAGATTTCTTTGATATTTAGTGTCTTTTTTATATTTTCACTACTAGTTGACAAAAAAGTGTCCTTTTATTATTTTTGATATTTGTATAAGTGTATGAGTTAAATTAAGAGAAATAAAGGGATTGTAATTCATTGATCGTTTGATTGAGATTATACAGTTTAAATTTGTATTTCTTTTTATTATTTTAACCGTCCGATCCAACGACTATAAATATGTTGATCGTGTGAATGTAACATTTACTAACGGTAGTGAATTTAGTTTCAAAATAAAAACATTAATATTAGATGTTTAAAATTGAATGTTCAAAAACATAGCTCATACAAAAAATCATTAAAAATATTTGATTTATTGATTAATTGATTTTATTTTTATCTTATAACTTCTTTACTATTATGTATTACGGTTTGGGCCGAACCCTACCATATAAAGATTCAAAATATATTAAAGTAGTGAAAGACCTAAACACTTCATGATCGTGAAGTGATGGAGACCGTCGAATTAAAATAAAATAAAAAGATCGATGAACATATGTCGTGTATGAAAAGTATTTTCGAAGAAAATGTTATATAGACATAATTCCTAGAATATTATTATAAGGGTTTAATGAAGTCTTCAAATGGAAGTACACATCATTCTAATCCTAAGTACTTCTCATTTTCAAAAATCATTGACTTGGGCGTCATATTGTCTCTACGTATCTCCACCGCCAGATCGAAGCATAGAAACATAAATGATATACTAAAGTTTGCGCTTAGATATAAGTTCACCACCTCTCTTGTGAATTACTACGAAAGAGGTTCTTAGCACCACCTGTTCACATTCTTCAACGTTTCCACTATGCTTCAAAACTTGATGGCAAATTTCTACGAAAGAGGTTCTTAGCATCAGCTTGAGTCGATTGAAGCACAACCACGACACAAAAATAACTAAAACTGTGAAGACAAAGAGAAGGAGGGAGACACAACTCCCCTATTGGTTTTCACTATCCAATGTTATTTATAACTGTGGGGATGCTATCCACATTGTGGTCTGTATCGTATAACAAATATGCACTTTGTGGAAGGACTTACCCATAAATGTTCCACCAAATATAGAGTAAAAAATCAAACCCAATATCTCTTCGTGTCAGAGGGCCTTCCATGTATAAGTAGATCGATGTGTTATTCCACCAAGAGAGAACATGAAAAATGCATGTATGTTAGCATAACGCTATGAGGCACATTAATGAATGGGAGACCTCTCATATCTTTCTACGATGATGAGTTAATCCACAATGTACTTAACCATCAAACAATGGTATTAATAAATGCATTGCCAGGCTTATCCGTTGATATATATACACAAAAGTGTACAACAAGCTAGGCTTAGAACAAAATTTACAACCTTTTAGGGCAGAGACCTCTAGGTTTTGACGATATCGACATAAAACGATGGGAGTACGTAAAGTTTCTGGTAGCATTTGGAGAAAGCGAACATAAAAAGATCATCAAAGTCAACTTTTTGGTGATTGGATGCTTATCCGTTTACAATTGCATCTTGGAGGGAGAGGGAATGAGTGTTGCGGGTCTATGCGCAATCTCGTCAATGATACAAAAAAAAACTATCCACACCAACGCTGATAGGGTTGACATGCTTGAAATTGGCTTGGAGATGTCTCACACATGTTTTATAGATTTGTTGGTGACTCCCCAACCATTTAAGGAAATCATGACCACATAAGCAGCGTCCAATGGACCGATGGAACTATATGCCAAGATAGAGAAATAATCCTTGATGAGGAAGAAAGGGATGATGAAAGCCTAGCTTTTAAATTATGGAAGAAGGTAGAATGGCCCGAACCCAATGGAGTGTTTGTTGAGGTCGTCGTCAAGAATGACCCATTAAAGATTTTCTAGATTGTCTTTGACTTACCTAAATATGCATAAAATCCAATTATATAGTACTTTTGTTCATCTTATTGGCCCAAGAAATGACATGTATAAGCCTTGATGTTACATGTCGCTCATTAGCCTTACAAAGGAACGTCCTGTACGTGACCTAGAGTCATCGAAAACAGTCACCCAAGAAAAGAAGAGGCAACAAAGAGGGCTACCATGACTTTTAAAATTAGGTTTTATAACTGAAGCAAAGTGCACAACCTTACATTCCAATGCCAGATTAGTGAAAAAAATAAAGCATTAAGTGGCGTATAGGCGTTGATTATTCAAACTTGAATGGAGCTTACCCGTAGGACGCATACCTCTTGCCAAACATACACAAGTTAATGGAAAATTACTCAAGATTCAATCAAATGTCGTTCATGGATGCTCACTCTGGCTACAACCATACCTTGATGAACCTAATAATTGCTGCAAAATAAAGTTCATGTTGCAAGAAGAAAACTTATGCTACAAAGTGATACCATTCAGTCTCAAAAAGAGTTGGGGGAAAGATACAAGATGATGATGAGTAATGTTTTCAAGGGCCATTTAGAAGACATGTTGGTGTTGTACATGGACGACATGATCGTTAAATTTGAGGAGGAAATAAATCACACTTGTCATTTGGAGGTTGACTTCAATGAAGCTAGGAGACACAACATGCGTTTGAATCCATGAAAGTGCATATTTGGTATTAAAACCACTAAGTTTTTGGAATACCATCTTACCGAGAGAGGAATAATAGTTAATTTGGAAAAATGTCATGTTTTGACCAATATGGAAGTCCCAAGGACCAAAAACGAATTCAATGACTAAATGGGATGTCAACCACCTTGTTGAGATTCATCTCCAGGCCCGCCTATTACATCTTACCAATGAATAAGATCTTAAGGAAGGTTACCACCTTTGAGTGAACTCTAAAGTGTGAGACCGATTTCCCTAATCTCAAAGAGACTCAACCTACCTCGCAATGGCGAACAAAGGAAATATCCTAAAATGCCACTTTGATATTATATGGTTCTCGCTTGAACCGATTAGCCACCCTAGAGATGAACAACCCCTAAACTGGTCCTCTCATTCTCAAATCTATGAAGCGGTGTAAAGGGTTAAGTGCTTGTACCTTTGGCTGAAACACATAAAATAAGGTGAAACACCAAAGCAACCTATAAAAAATAAACTAGAATAACATCCATTGTATCATGCTCAAATTACAACTGAATGACTGAGGACTATTTCCATGACCAGCAAAAAAGTATTAATATAAAAAAAGGAGATATGATAAAGTCATCCAAAATTGGCTCTTTGTTTTTCACTATCTTGTCAGGGCCAATGTCTTTAATATTCAAAGGAACCTCAGGATTAAGGAAGACAACATTATACAAAGCATTATCGAAAGCCTCTCTTACCGTGATAGTCATCCACTACAACAATCATTTCATTCTCAAAGGCTTTATCTCATTGCAAAATGACCACTTTATTCGCACAATGAGATTATATTTTATCCTCAACATCCTCCAACTTTTTCTTCAACTATTCTCACTCTTAGGAAAGGGTGCATGCACCCTCATGGATTTTCTTCAATTTCTTAGACAAATGATCTGCTTTATTCAACTGAGTCCAACCACTTCATCTCCATTTTCTTCAAATAGTTCTTCCCAATATCCATCTCCTTTGTAAGTTGTTTGAAAGTAACAAGGTGGGTCGCCATCAAACCCTGATCAACCTTGAAGTGTTGGTGTAAGCTCTGAAGGAAATTCATTTTATTAGAACTTGGTACCTGTATCAAATCATCTAATAATAATAATAATAATAATAATAATAATAATAATAATAATAATAATAATAATAATAATAATAATAATAATAATAATAATAATAATAATAATAATAATAATAATAATAAGACATTTCTTTACTATGTCTATTTTTCTCAAAGTAATTAAGTACCTAAAATAATGACTTAATCGTGAGACCCCATTAAATATAAGGACATTATTCTTAAAGTATATTTAGTCAAATTTTATTGTGAAGTTGGATAACATTAACATATTGAAATTATTATAGGAATAAACTGATGATCACATCGCACAAATTATAGAAAGAGTTATAAAATAATTTTGATAAATTCTCCCTAGCTGAAAATTGTCATAAAAATATAGTATTAATATATTGATCCTTCTCTTTTGACTATGCTTTCCTATCAAAACCATAAAGAAAACAATTTACATTTCACACACAATTCTTCTCAGCACTAAAAAGATTCAATTCGCCAAATATCAGGTCCTTCTTTACTTTATAGAAGTATGTCTAGTTCAAAGAATGAGAGAACACAGGTTCATAGACAGGCAGTCTGGTACCGCGAGGAAGATCCCCCACCCCCCTATGTTGCATATGTTATGGTGGGTATTATTAGTCATGGGTTGTACAATAGCTTACTAAAATTTAAAGTTCTTATATGACTATGTAAAAACTTAAAAGCTTTTAGGTGATTGTTTGAAAAAGATCATGTCGCAGGGAGATTTTGAAGAGTCCTATGAAATAGAAAACACGACAAAGAAAACCTCAGATGATTCTTGGGTTCCCAGATACCAACACAATATTTAGGAGACTTGAATAAATGCCCAACAATTGGGATGTAATTGCACTGGTACTTCTACAAGATATTGAAGAATTTCTCACTCAAAATTAGAGATAGGAAAGAAGAACTCCATATCCCAAAATATCATATTATACATAGGAAATTAAGGGTGAATCTTTTGTAAAATGATCCTTTAAATGGGGAAGGAACAAAGGTAGCACAGTAATAAGAGGGACTACTTATCTTCGTTTCAATCTAGTAGTATTTTGATTATTCT